AGAGAGAGAGAGAGAGAGAGAGAGAGAGAGAGTTCTTCTTCTTCCTCTTCTAAGTCCACCATCTCTCCCTCACCCTCTTGCTACCTGACTTCTCAGTATCTGCAGACTACGAGAGGGAGAGAGATTGGTGACTATGGGACTTGCCGACATTTTGATTCAGACTCGACATTGGGATTGAGACATTAAATGAGGGATTATTTGGGACCTGTACCGAAGACTTGGTGTTGACGACATTTCCATCTCCCCCCTCTTCTTCTTCTTCGTCTGATCCCCTCCTCTTCGTCTGTGTATGGTCTGGACCTGGCGCATTCATCCTGTGTGTAGCGCGAGGCCCTTCACACCTTGCAACTATGATGATGTGTGTCGGGTCTTCATTGCAACATTGATTGCGTTGATCATTGGTACCGTAGCATTCCGCTGCGCTGTCTTGTACTATGTGAGGGAGACCAGACCTTGTTTTTGTTTGCACCGTTACGGTATGCAACACTTTGGTATCTCCTCCTCCTCTCACATGGGTGATGTATAATGGGATGCCGTGTCAGTCCCGGTCAAGTCAGGACTTGTATCCGAGTCTTCCACTGCGCTACAAAGTGCCATTTTGTATGTATCAGGATGAACACTGCTTGTTGAGATTCCGCTACTACTGCATTGTCCATTCAGTCCTTTTTATCACAATTGCGGATCCTTGGCTGTACATTCATTGCCCAACTATGCATCTATCAGTTGGTAACGGAGCACCGCACGTGAATCAGGACAACCTGATCTGACATCTGGACCTAACTGCCAAAATCGGAAAAAAAAAAAAAAATTATGAAAATTCCGATTTCCGTTGTTCTTTTGGTTTAAGAGAGATTGGGAGACCTACTGAACTTGCAAAATTCGGGACTTCTATTAATATCTCGAAATTTTGTTCTCTGCAAAAGTTCAAACTTTTCTTTTTTGATTAGTGGCTCCTTATCTGGGCAATTTATCCCACCCACCCCTCCCCACCTATGTTGTTGCCCCCTCTGGTCTTATCTTCTCTATCTGTCTCCGGGTACCCCCTGCGGCGGCATTGGCGAGTTGCCATGTCAGAAGGCCATGTCAGCAGACCACGTCAGCAGGCCATGTCAGTAGACCACGTCAGCAGGACACGTCAGCCGACAGCCGTGCCTTGTCAGCATCCAAACAGTGCCACGTCAGCAGTCCTCCGGCCTGGTGTATGCTCGCGCGCTTACAAACAGCCGGCATGGATCAGAAGTCCGGGGAAACCGCCGAGGCCTATCAGGCCCGGATGCTGGCTTTGATTACCGAAGCCAGGAAACGGGTGGATGAAGTAGCAGCCGCAGAGAAGAAGAAGACAGAGGACGCCGAGAAGGCATGTCTGTTGGCAATCGAACAGTAGCGCCAGCAAGACGAGGCAGTAGCAAAGGCTGCCGATGAAGAACGAAATCAACGACGCGAGAAGATATTCAACGAAGAGCGAACCTTACTCACAATGGCAGCATACTGGCGGGCCGAGGTCGAGAATGGTAAGATGGAAGAGAGTGAAAGCAAGATCGCTCTACTCCTCTCCCATTTCACGGATCTCCTGGCAACATGCATTGCACCACAGCCTCGACGACGCGGTTCAGACGCACAAACAGGCGTTTGATCAAGTCAACAGCCGCCTTCAGCAGTTGGAGCAACAACCTGTCACCGCCCCCGTTGCCAGCTCCTCCAATACCTCTGATCGCCTCAATGCATTGGAGATCGATGTCGGAGCCCTCAAGGACGGCGCGCAGCTACAGCAAACCGCCACACAACAACTGAAGCAGCGGACCTGTGCTGCCGCTGCCAACCCGAGTTCGGCACCGCACGAGACAACTCCAAAGTTCGATGGTAAGGAGATCTTCTGCGATTCAACGAAGATGGACCCGATTCCATGGTTCCGCAAGTTTAAGCTCAAGTTGCGGCTACATCACGTCAGCGAGGACAAGAAACACGCGTGCTTATACTCTCGGTCGGGGGGCGCGTGCCAAGCATGGTTGGACAATCTCTTGTCCAAGTACGGGGTGGTAGCTGCCGACTTGTACACCAAGATCAGCTGGGATGATCTAAAGGCGACGTGGCATAAGCGGTTCCAAGCAGAGCCCCTGGAGATAAAGGCAATGGACAAGTTGCTGACCTTCGAACAAGGCACGCTGCCGAGTGTTGACTGGATTGCCGAATACCAACGCTTGACATCTGTCCCATATATTCAAATGGGCTTCAAGGCCTTCAAACACTACTTCATCACGAGGTCGTGTCCGGTGTTGGGCAACGCCTTGACTCACGTCGAGGACACCCTGACGACAACGGCGGAGCTTTTTGACAAGGTCGCGCAGATCATTGTCACGAACAAGGAGGCCAAGAACCTCAACTGTTCGTCTGCGACAGGCCCGAGCAGAGATCAGCATCGGCCGAAAGTGGCCGTGGTCGCCCCGACAAAGACCGAGGACGCGGCAAGACGAAGACAAACATAGCATCTATCCACGGGCCCCGCGCAACAGCTCCAGCCCCATGGTCCCACTATGGTCTCTCCGAACGTGCGTACAAGCTACGCATGAGATTCCGCTATTATTTGTGGTGTAAGAGTGATCTCCACAACACGGTGGGTTGCCCGTTGAAAGGCAAGGGTAAGCCTGTACGGCGCGCGAGGCTGAGGGAGAGCCGAGGGAGAGGAGAGAGAGAGGGAGGGAGAGAGGGAGCGAGTGAGAGCGCACACACACACTCACTCACTCGACACGACTGAGGGCCGGACGCAGATACAGTGGCAAGGGCACAAAGTCGAAGTCTTGGATTCCCCAACGCCGAAACAGCAAGTCACACAGAGTACGAGTACAGCAGCTGGAAACTGGTACGAGACTGGTCCCCGTACCGTACTGGGAGCTTGTATAAGTATCGGTGACACGTACAGTACCAGGGGCATTTCTGCAAAGGCCTCGAGGGCAGAACTGAAAAATGCGGTATTTGAAAGTGGTGCCTGAATTGCAGCATGGTGCCAGTTGTCCAAAATCCTACGGTACCAAAGGAGGGGTTTGGAAAAAGGGCACCAGGCCGAAAACGGGATGCAGCCGAAACAGCAAAGAGATAGACCAGGCATCGAGCCCTAGCGGAGTCCATAACAAAGCCGGGAGACTGAGCACCGCCGGGAGTGAATCGACGACACTTTCGACGGCTTCGGAACCGGTCGCTTCGCGGGTGACCGCCCTTCGTTCCGAGGCACATGTGGAAGTCGATAGTCCTCTTCTATATTCTTATGAGGACAATGCTGCCCGGGTCGTTCCTACGCTCGGTACTCATGCTTAAGGACAAAACGTGTGTGCGGCATCTTCTCCGTCCGGCAGCGACGTCTTATCGTCTTCAAGTGGTTCTTCACGGGATTCGGCGCGTGAGTTCAGAGCCCCTAGTAGTCCGCCATAGCCTTGGCATGTGAGAGGAGGAAGAAGGGGGAAGCCATGGCTATGGTGGACCTATTGTTGTGCTAGTAGTAAGAGGGAACTTTGGATATTGATTATGGTTCATCCACTCATTGTTGTTATTATTATTTGGAAGAAGATAAGATTGGTGAAGTCAAGGAGGAGGAGGAAGGTGGAGAGAGAAGGGGGATTTGTCATTGCTCGTGCTGGTGTACATCTTCTTCTTCTTCCTCTTCTTCTTCTTCCTCTTCTTCTTCTTCCTCTTCTTCTTCTTCCTCTTCTTCTTCTTCCTCTCTCCTTCTTTGGTCACTACCTCTTTGCAAGTGCTTTCATTTCTTTTGCAGTTGGGTGGCATTGTCTTTCCTTGTGAATTTGCACTTTGGAAATGACCAGGATCGTAACAATTGGTATGAGAGCGGACTTACTAGCTGGCGAGAGGTGTTGAACTACCCTAACCCTAATTCCGAATTAGGTTAGGGCTAACCTAATCTCGGATTAGGGTTGTAAGTTAGGGTTAAGAGAGGTAGTGAGGTATGTGGATGTTGTCCCACCTGGTTAGGTCATGTAGGGTCGACATCAGACCTGACCAGGTTGCTTGAGTGATGGTATGGGGTGGCGGGACACAAAGGAGGCTGATTGAAGTGAGTGAGAGGGAGTAGATAGTGAGAGGTACTCGCACCTGGAATCTGGACTTCAAGAAGACATTGAGCGACTCTTGGGCTTCCCCTCAAGAGGGAGACTTGACAAGAGGCTGCTATATCTGCATTGAAGAACCGCAAGTTGCTACTTTGGTCTTCAATATCGACGGGGGATCCGGTGTTGTAACATGGGTGTAGGAGAGCCCTCTTAGTCATGCTAGGACACTTGTAGTGGTAGCTAGGGGTGAGGAGGACCTATGAGATAGGGGGGTGAGTCGTTATTTCATCTTTGGAGGTCGGGCCTCACACGCAAGTGTCGTGTGACTTGGGTATCCCCACGGGTGGTTGCTTGGTGCTTCATGGCCTGTTGGGGTGTGTTGGGCTCTTTTCCTCTTCTCGCCGGTCTTGGTTGTGTGTGTGAGCATGTGGATTGCTTTCTCACCTGATGGATGGATGGATGATGTATCTTGTTCTCAATGACATATCTTTGGACAGTGCATTGTCTTTTGACTTCTGAACGGCTGTAGGAGTAGGTTCTTGCTGAAAGTTGCCTTTTCCTTTTCAATATGGTAGAGGCAGTTTCGAACAGTCTTGGGGCACCCTTCTGATTGGTCCTGGTCCACAACCTACTTGGGACCCTTCGGGACTCAGAGGGACCAGGCCCAATGGGATAGGACCCTTTGGCCCCAAGTCTGTTGCCACCAGTTCCATTTCTTTGTTGTGCTGAAACTGGGAGACACATGGCAAGTAGGGACATTCCTTTCAAGGGGATCTTGACTGGTCTTACTGCATGTTCTCACACACTGGCCCGCTACTGGCTTGGCGACCGTCTGCAACCCTCGAAATCTCCATTGTTTCAGTCAGTTTTCTTTCGTCTGACTTATTCGAGGTACATGTTCCATATTGGGTTAGACAAGACGGGATCTCCGAACCCATTCGTTAACTTTTACGTCTCTTTGATTTATTTATTTTTCTGTTGTGTGAATGTCATTTTCTAAATCCAAATGAATTGCCGCTTCGGGTAGGAGTTCTACGTTCTCTGTTGTGATTTATTTCTTATTTTCTTTTATCTGACCTATCTATGTCCGGTATTGAAACGTGTGTGCAGAAAGCGGAAAGAGAGAGAAGGGGGAGAGAAGGGAGAGAGAAGGTATTCTTTTTGACAGTGTGAGGAGGGGTTGAGGAGGGGTTGAGGAGCATTCCTCCAAACGAGGGCAAAGAGCGGACCCCTCTTGAGATATCTACTAACACCCCATCCTCCACCATAGTAGACATCTCATCTGCCCAATGGCGGGCCATGCTGGACGCAGCGGATGAAAGCGAGAAACTGTTCTTTCATAAACTTTATGAGAATGCGATACAGAGAGAGAGGGAGGTAGAAGCAGCCACAAGTATTGCTGCCCAAGTGGCCCTCCTCGTTGTTCCGGAGACTAGTGATGCCCAGTTCAAAAAGAAGCTAGTTGTTGCCGTAGCAGCCTTGGTTCAACTGCAGACCTTGGAAGACCTTGAGTCCCACATGACAATTTTAGACAGTGGAACCAAGAGCTGCAGGCTGAGATTGTAGGCCTCAAACAGGCCCAACTGACCACCCCTCGTCCTCCTAATCCTGGTCTTGTTGAGAGCAAGTGGAACTCTGACGAGCGCAGGAACTGGTGTCAGCTCTTCAAGCGGCAACGCCGACAGTTCTGCACTTGTCCCAGTCCCCAATGCAGGGTCACTAGCCCAAAACGTCGCAGTTCCTACTGGCGTTTAATACAATGGTGCCATGATGGACAAGAGGGCAGCCACATTGTCGTCCAAATATGACGGGATAGGGGATATCACCTTTTGGATCAGCTTCATGCGATCATACTTTGAGGTACTGCGAACACCGTAGGAAGATCGAAGTATGATCATGGGCACAAATATTGAGCTCATCGTACGAAGTTTTATTGAACTCCAAGCCGTTAGTGCAGGTTATGAAAGAATTGACCTGACAGAGTGGTTGAAAGTGATTCTTTTACGTACTCTGGAGGACCTCCTCATCGCGGAGTATCAAGATAACCACGCTGCACTCAAGGCAAGGCTGAAACTTGAGGCCCTCAAGGGTCAAAAGTGGAGGACTTTCATGCAGGCTTTGGAGCAACACTTGATTGGTCTATTCACTTCTCCAAACCTGGGATACACAGATGTGTCTTGTATGGATGTAATCATGGGAGTGACCCCTAAAGATTATGTCTCCCGACTAGGACTCAAGGACCATTTGACCTCGCATAAGTTCTTGAAGGATCTAGTGCAACTAGAAGCCAAAATCCTCACCAGGCGTGCGAAGACACCAGCTGCAGGGAAGTCTTTTCGACGCAAGCAGCCCAAAAGAATCAGCCGGCTTGCCCTGCATGAACATCGGGAGGCTAAGGATCAGTCCTATGTCGATGATCTGTCCCTAGATGACGACCTCGAGACACTCTGAAGTGGGTTGTTCTCCATCAGCCTTTGAGTCTGATATGAATGACGAAGAGAAGTATAACACCTTTAGAAAGACTGCTTCAAGCAAGAGTCCCAACCGCAGTTCAGGTAAGGGAATCATAATACACCTCCCTAAGAACGCAAAGATTCCTGAGTCGGAGGATGCTTCCACCAAGCCTTGGGAAACCCTCCGCATCAATCAAAAGGAATAGGAAATAGGATCCAAACTAAGTATGTGCTTGCATTGTCAAAAGCATGGGCACGTGGTGGAGGATTGTTACCGTCTATAGGGAAACAGGCAAAGAGCATAGAAGAGTTCTCAGCACTCTCTACAACAAGAAAAGTTGAACAGTCAACTCCAAACCCCTCCAAGGAACCTGAATCTGACCAACAGCCTACTCTTGAAGCCCAGACAGATGCTGAATCTAAGGCCGTTGCAGTCCAAGTACTTGTAAAGCCTATCCACGTGCCTTCTACTTTTGCTGCATTTTCTACCTCAGAAAATAACTCTACTTCTACGACATCTACTTTTGCTTCATCTACTTCAACTATAAAAGATAAGTCTACTTCTAATCCAACTACTTCAAATTCGGTTGTTATTGCTGTAAATTCTCAAACTGATTTTCTCTCTCCTGATGAGGATGATCCTCCATTGGAAGTCCCAACAAACATTCGCCCTTTACTAGACCAATTTCTGAAAGTTCTGGTCGGACCTCGTAGAGTTCCCGAGCGTTCGGTCAAACACAAGATCGAGATAGTAGAAGGGAGTGTTCCTCCAAATGGTTGCGTCTATCGTATGGGGCAAAGTGAGTTGGAGGAGTTGAAGAGACAAATTGACGACATGATTGATCGTGGATGGATTAGGACTAGTGAGTCTGAGCTCGGTGCACTTGTCTTGTTTGTGTCAAAGAAAGGAGGCAAACTCCGGATGTGCATCGACTATTGTGGCTTAAATCGTACCTCTAGAAAAAATGTGTATCCCTTGCCACACATAGATGATTTGTTGGATGTTGCACGTGGGTG